TTCCTGCTGGAGCTCTGTTTCACTCAGAGCCTAGCCTAGGCTGTGCACTGGAAAAGAGACACAATTCTGCTGTCCACAGGAATGCAAAAAAAATCAAAGCAGCAACCTGTAACAGGCACTTAGAGTGGAAATTTCCAGCCCAAATAAATAAATGGTAAGAAAGTCAAAAAGGAGCCTACAGACAGAGGCATCAAGTAACTCCAGCACAGAGTTTAATGTGAGTAGTCCCACTTATAACATGTTCTCTAATGCTGTTCACAGCTACGCAGTTTCCACTATTTAATTAGCTACAATCTACATGTGCCTGCATCGTTTAAAAGTATACACACACTCTCTCTCTCATCCTGCTTTATAAAAAGTAACTGACATATCCAAATGTTTTACCAGACTGCTCCTGTATCATGCTACAGAGAACATCTATTCCCTGCCAGTCTCCAGTGACTTAAAGACAATATGGGATCACTTCTCACTGTACTGCAGTTTTCAATCTGCAGAGAAAACCCACTGCTTTTCTGAAATAAATCTGCAAACATCATATCCTCCATCCACAACGAAGAGCTGGAGGCCTGGCTCATCGCTTGGTCAAAGTGACTTAGTTCACTTCAATAGGGCTATGCTGACTTACAAAAGCAAAAGAGATGGTTTGAATGCTTGTAAATCACCTTTCCAAGTCATGGCTAGGGAAGAGTGTTCATTCAGATAGTCCCCACCTCTTCTTCCCCACAAGTACAGAGACTCCTGCCCTCTACCACGGGCCTAGCAGCTGCAGCACTGGGATTTCCTCTACTGGGTGACAAGCCACTCAGGGCAGGGGCCATTTCTCTCCCAGGCTCAAGAGCCCCATCACAAAGCACAGCCTCTGGGCACTACCGCAATGTATGCCATCCTGTAACAGTAAGTGTAACAGCATTAAGCAGGTGATCCCAACAACTCAGTCACTAGGCTCCATGGCGTCACACTGTACACCCATAGTGGTTGGCATCCAGCAGTCTCTTCTCAGAAGGGTTGTCTGAAGTGAAATAGGACTCAAAAATACATTAATTAGCAAAACTTCAATTCACCAAGTCTGTGGTGATTAGGTCAAGTCTGCTTGAGGGAAGACTTTTCATAAGAGGTAAATTGCAGGGCTGAGCCCAGAGAGTCCAGTGTACACAGAAAGTTAATACGAGGCAGCCTTCCTCATCCTGGTACAGGCCTGGTTGTCCTCTCTTCTACAGCATTGCTTCAGGAATACAGTGTCATCATCATCCACTGTAAAGTAATGGGGAAAGTAGGTAGAACTCATCCATCCCTGAGAGCACTCTGAGATAGTCACAGCTGAACTGGACTGTGGGGCATTGGAGATTTTCTATCTCCAGAAGGAGCAGAAATGATAATAAAGCACAAGACTTAGAAGCCTGAAGCTCCTTGTTGTTTCTAACCCACTCTGCAAGTGATCAGGTAAAGATACCTTTTTTAACGCTACAGAATAAAACACACAGTGCCACTTACAATGAAGGAGGCTGCATTTGTCAGTCAGGGAACGGGCTTTACCTCAGACTCCTGGAGATATATCCCTTTGCCATCTTGTGTTAAGTTGCAAAAGGCCTCTGCGAAAGAAATAGATAAGGAGCATTAACTTGATAGCCAAGAGATCAGCACCAGCCAAGACACTCTGTCTCAGGAAGAACCTCAAAGGCAGAGTCTGTAGGCTATTCACAAGTGCACAAGAGCTTCTCTTGTTGTCGCTGGAAGATCCCCAAGGGCTGGGACAGAGTGAGCAGCTGAATAAAGTCAGGCATGTTACTGTCTGTCAATCCAGCTGTGAAACCTCAAAATGCAGGTGGGCCCAACCTCACCCACTACAGTTTTGAGACGCGTGAAGTGTCTACGGCATGAGTTCACAGACTGAATATCAGCTATCTCATCATCACAACTGCAGTCCCACCAAAGGTATATTCCAAGGCTCTCTTATTCCTGGAAAATGAGCAGTCTCCATCTGTAATTTGCCTACCTCCTCCTACAGATGGCTGGTGCAAACCTGCACGGAGCTAAATCACTCTGATATATACAACCCGGATGTCTGTAGAAAGTGACTGATGGAAAGGTAAAGAGAAAGAGCTTGATTTCCTCTATATCTGTCCCTTGCTTTAAATTGATTACTCTTGGTCTATTCAGAAACCCAGTCTTTCTAATTTTGACTTTGCCACTGCCAGCTGGAGCAGCATCAGAAGGGCCAGGTCTTAGCTGGGCAGCCCAGCTTGCCTGGCCAGCCACATAGTTCCAGCCTCACCTCCCATGATCTCCACTCGAAGCATGAAGTACATAAAGCTCTCAAAGCTGATCTTCAAGTCCGGGTCACCATATCTGATTGCCATCAAATCACAGACATCATTGCTGAGCGAAATGCCTTCATAAAAGGGGGGAAAACCAGAATGAGATGGCAACTCCCAGCTGCAGGCAGCTGAATGTTCACAGCTATGAGTGTGCACACAGCTGTGAGCATGCACAACTGAGTGGTTTTCAGCCCTTCTCCAACAGCTTGGTTTTTCAAACCTCCCCTAAGGTTATCAAATATCAGCCAGCCCAAACCAGACAACCACGTGGAGATATCTACTCCAAACTTGAAACAGTTCAGATCTGATCCCCTATATTCACAGTCCTGCCAGAGTTGGAATAAAATACACATGGGCATCCTTTACTCATGAGTGATAGGGCTATGCTGACTTACAAAAGCTTAAGAGAATAACAACAGCAGCTGTGTTTAAGAGCAACACTACACAAGAAGGTAGGAAAAGAGATGAAAAAGAAAATCCAGAGGAAGCTCATACAGAAAGCATCAGTCCCAATATCAAGCAGATTTTGCAAGGAATAAAAGTATTTTCTATTCATGGCCTGGGATTTTAGTTTGCTTTAGCAGAGGTCCACCTGTGTTTCTCACTGTGCTTTCACTGACTCAGATGAACTGGGTGAACCACGTGCCAAAAAGAAGAGTGATATTTAAGCTGTAAACCTGCAGAAGAGACTACAAGACTGAGCACCAGCCCCCATGCAAAGCTCAGTAACAGCAACAGAGTATTTGTACCCATGTGTATGGTCTTCCATTTCTAGATCAAGGTTCAGACATTACACTAGTGAAGTCTGGCACCAGTATCGCCTCTGCAAGTCCCACACTTCCAGGTTCAGTCCCTGAGCTGTCATCTTCAGCAAAGGTAGCAATTTAGTATGAGCTACATCTGGCCTCCCACATGTATCCGCAAAACCCCACACAGTCTTTTAAAATTAAATTAGCAACGAACAGGAAGGGATTTAAAAACTGGGTCTAAAATAGACAGACACTTCTGTTTCAGAGAACTATCAGTATGAGACCACACTGGAGCAAAGATTAAGTAGCCCATTCCACAGCAAAATAATTTTCAGATATGTTTACCCAGCTAAAAAGGGAAGCAGAGATGGCTAAGACCATGCAGCCTATGATGTTTTCCACTCCTCCTGGGCTCTACCTTCAGTTCTCAGGATGTTTCCCAGCCCTGGGCTTTTTCCAGCCTTTATGAGGAAGAGGATGAGACTTGCCAAGATGTGCTGTGGGCTCACCTGTCTCCCGTACAGCTGCATGTAGTTCCACAAGGTCAAGTTTTCCTGATCTGCTAGTGTCCCTTTTCTGGAAAACTTCCTGAGGGCAGAGGGGAGGAATATATTTTTAAACATAACAAACCCCCCAAAAAACCAACAGACAACACCAAAGAGATTGTGAGCAGGGAGATATTGCAAGGGGACACAGAAATTATTGTTATACCAAATAGAAAAGCAGCCTTTTCCACAGAACTCTGAATTCCTGGATACTCAGTGTGCCAGAGGCGTTTAGCTTTGTGGGAGAATTAAGGTCAGAACATCTCAATTGAACATCAGAGAGCACCCATTACATTAAAAAAAAAAAAAAAACCAAACCAAAACCAAACAAAACCTCATAGCCACTCCAACATTCACACAATTACAATATGTGGATAATGATTTCTTAGACCACAAGCCTATCTATAGGCTTGATCCTCCTCCCACTAAAGTCAATGAAAACCCGGCTG